GCTAATCTAATAGAACCTGGATACTCTTGATTTAAGGGACAAGAGTTGAATCTGGGGAGGCAATTAGACATATATAGAAGTCTTGGCTAGCACTGCAGGCCACAAACGTACCAAAAGATATGTATGACGAAAACACACAATGGCTGGGCATGTTGCCAAACACCTTTAGTCCCAGCATTTGGGAAGCAGAGGCAGGTGGATCTCTATGACTTCAAGGCCAGCCTGATCTATACAGTGAGTTCCAAGACAGCCAGGGTTATGTAGAGAAACCCTGTCTCAAACAAAACAAAACAGACATCACAATGTATTTTAATTAGATACCAGGTGTCATTGAATGCTAACGAGGGGTAAGTAAGTTTTCCAGAAGGAAACTGAGATGTAGCAAGAATTAAACTATAAGAAAAATACTATGCATTCTTTGGTGATGAAGAACGTTGGTGTTTACAGAGGCACCATCTTAAGAATGAAAACTTAACAAGCTGGCGTCCGTTTTTATAATAAAACATTGAACACACAAGCTCATGTTTCTCTTCCAGTGTGAATTCTTACATGGGTGAGGGAGAGAACTGGGCTGAAGTTCTCCCACACAGGAAGAAGCAACAGCATCCTCACGCCTCCTGAAAGGACTGCATCACCTTTAAACATTTAAAGAGCAATTTCTCCTAGTGTGACTGCTCATAGCAATCACAAAACTGCAGGAAGCAACTGAGCAATAACCAAGATCGTCAGCAGTCTCAGCAGGTCTGACATTTGAGGGTGCATGACTCTTCGTCCTCAGGACTCCTGTGCACTGGGGGATATTTAGCTGTATCCTGGCTGTTTTGGAATATTAACTGCCATTCTTTACAAAAGCTGGGGAGCAGGACCTAAGGGTCAGAAGAAAGGCCTGTGTGACTCACTTTGAGATGCCTCAGTGCAGAGTCAAGTATCTTATGTTGGTAGCTGAGTTTCTGTAGTTCAGAAACACACATACACACACTAGCCTCATCATCGCACAGGGCAAGGATGCTTATACTAACGGACAAAGAGCTAGAGAAAACAGCAGCTGTGGCTGCTCTTCTGTCAAGCATAAAGCAAACACATACTTCATTTTTCCAGAGACTAGAGTGCACCTGCTCTGCATGTAGTTGTGCTTAGAACAAGGAGCAGGGCACTCTGGGAGGAGTGTCTATGGCTTTGCTTTTTTCTTCAGAAAAGCAGAGGCAGCAGTAGGACACTGGGCCAGGGTTTGTGCACATTTTTGTGTTCATAGCTCTGGGTTCCCTTATGTTATTTGATGCCATGACTCCTTCATTGATACCCTGTATGAAAAAAGCAGAGCAAGGCAGCGGCTGGCACCTAAGGCAGGACCCTATTTTTGCTTCTCTCTAAATCAGTGGTTCTCAACCTCCCTAGTGCTGCAACCCTTTAATATAGTTTTTCATGTTGTGGTGATCCCCAACCATAAAGTTACTTTTGTTGCTACTTCGTAACTGTACTTTTGCTACTGTTGTAAATTGCAGTGTAAATATCTGGTAGGAGATATCTGTAAAAGGCCCTTTCACCCCACAAAGAGGTTGCTATCTGCAGCTTAAAACCCACTGTTCTAAACCATCTTCTACCCAAAAGACCAAAAGGTCATTTTAAGAAGCAAATACGAGGGCTGGAGATACAGCTCAATGGTAGCCTAGCATGCACAAGGTCCTGGGTTTAATATCTATTACAAAACGGAACAAAACACCTCACTAGCCATGTATCTGTTAAGGAAATAAATTGTGGTTAAATGTTTTTGTTTTTAATATGATCCTGTCACTGTTGATTTCCCATAGTGAGAAAGTATTCATAGAATCTAGAAAGCTATGTATGTTATTGTTCTTATAATACCTTTGGGTATTCTCCCCAGAGCTCAGGTCTTACTGGCCCACATTACATTTTCAATAAGCCATCCTCTTCTCAGGTTCAGGGCCAGCTGTCCTGCTTTCTGGAAAACACATGTCTGGCTAATGCAGGCATCCCTCTGGCATTCCTGAGTTAGTCTCCTGTTTTACATGCTGAGTTTGCATATTGCTTTCTTTCCCTGAATTCCCACTATTATAATTCTATAACCATGTATGATAACTATCTTCTTTTCCACAAAACTATAGACTTCATGAAGGAGGTGTATGTTTTGTTTACCTTTATTTCCAGTGCTAAATACTGTATTTAGCCTGACACAGTATATGGTCAACAAAATTTCTTGGTATGAAGAGAAAAAAATCAATAGATGATAGATAGATAGATAGATAGATAGATAGATAGATAGATAGATAGAT